CTCACAAGACTGATGATTTTCAAGCAACAAAGTGTGACTTGACATCATTCGCAGGGTTATAGAGGTGGGAAGAGGTGCTTAGGTAAGGGAGCAAATTACAACGGGTCTGAAAAAAATGGATATTTATCAATTTATGTATGGTTGAGTGAAAATGTCATTCGCTTTTCAATTAATGTAACAATTCTTTTTAAATGCATTTTTTTTTTGGGGAGAAGTTAAAAATAAAATAATACTTCGTTTGAAAATAAAAACGAAATATAATGTTTTGTTTGGCCGAGCTTCTTGGAATTGTGCAAGGTCTAAATCTTCGTAGGACCAAAGGCTCTAGGGCTATAGCCCTTTTTTTTTTTTTAAACCAGAGGACTATGGCTCTTCATTGTGACTGCATTGATGCTGTAAATGTAATTTTGAGAGGGTTGTACCATATTGGCGCAGTGGATATGTTAGCTAAATTAGCAGGTATGTTGGATAATTCTTGGTTCCTCTTTGATTAATAACCAACCTTAAATGGAGAGGTGGAAATTGATAAAAGAGGGTGATTCTGTTTTGTTTAAGGTTAGATTTCCAGTTTTCATTGGAAAAAAAATTTTTGCTCATCGGGCGGAGCAAGAGAGAGTTGATGTCAGAATCCTCAACGATCCACCCCTTCAAAGTAGGGATCTTTTTGTCTGGATTTATCCTTACTTATTTGTACTGTGCCCTTATTATTTCAATATACGTGTGTGTATCTACACACACACACACACCGCATCTGTAGGCCAAATATAGAGCAGGTGACAAGATCCTTCCTCCATCCGTCAACTTCCCTCCAGAAAATGGCAATGTCACCCCCAGTCCCCTCAGCGCATCACAAACTTCCATCTCGGAAGTAATATTTAGTTTTGGGGTCGTGTGCCCGCCTGCATCCATTAAGGTTTCACGAACAAGGCTTCTTCGCCCATCTTCAGCGTCTATCCCTGGGAAACAGAAAAACATTTCGGCATCGCGCTCGTCTTTCCTAGGCTTTTTAAATTGTTGAATAAGCATTGTGTAACCCCTGTGCCATCTACCAAATTCTTCCTTGCTCATGGCAGCCGAGAAGGGATCTAAATCAAAGTCTTCTTGCTCCTCTTGGCTATTGCTTAAAAGGCATGGAAGTGATTCCCCACGCCATGCTCCTTTAAAGTATAGTGCATTTGTAAAGACGAGCTTCACTGAGCTGTTGAGAGACCCCTCACGTATAAGGTCTTTAACCAGGCCACTTGTCTCATTTCAAAAAATTTAAACTGTTAAAATCTGGTCTCATCAGTTTACAATTGTAATAAAAAAATAAAAAAATTTGCTTTATATAATAGTATGTAGTTATGAATTGTTCAGATTAGATTTTAATAGTTTAAATTTATTTATCTATTTTTTATCATAATATTTATTTTATAAAATGTTATAATATATTGAATCTGTTCCATTGGAGTTTTGATCCAATGGTTGAAACTGATGAGCCAGATTTAACAGTTTAAATTTTTTTTTTTAATATTTTATAAGATGAATCAAGACCACTTGACAATGGGTGAAAGAGAGAGGAAGGAGGGAGAGAAAGGAAAAGGAGAGAAGCACCCTGTTTTCTTCTAGTTTTTCGTCCATAAGTAGATGCTTTCCGAAGATCGCGGATGGATCTATGGGAGAGGGCATCTGATTTTTCCGACCTGCTCTTCTGCTGCAGTAAGAAGCCGCTTGGTTTACCGAAACTGGCCAGAAGGAAAGTAAACTCCTTTCCAGCCATTGAGTGATGGAGAGCCGGCTCCTGGGATGAAGGAGATTTTGCCGCATGATGGAGAGCAGTTCAAACCCAAACCCTTGTTCCTAGGTTTTTTCGTCTTCGAGTTTGGTGCGTTGTTTTAGAGTACTAAGGGGGGGGCAATGATTGTTTTCATTCCACGTACCCTCTAGGGCCGTAAAATTAGAAATTTGGTCTCTTTTTATTTTCTTGTTTGTTTAAGGTTTTGTTACGGACCAACTTCCTTATTGGGTTCTTCTGGGCTCACTCCTATTGGGCAGTAAAACGACAATTCAGAATGTCGCGATGTCCATTGAATTTTATAATATTAATATTATCATATCATTTTCAAAAATTATATACATAGAGACACGATAACTCTCTCTGGCTGCTTGGGAGAATTTGCAATTTCTAAAATGTTATCAAACTCTATTAGCTTGAGAATCTAGAAAGTTCCATAAAAAATCAAATATATATAATTAAAATAATAAAATTATATAAATAAATATACAGACTCGTCATCAACTATCAATCAACTACATCTTTGAAAACTTGTAATATCCAATTCATTTAAAAATGGATCAGATATGATATTATGAGATTTGAATATATTCAATAAATGAGATTTGAATAATATTTTAATTGGAATTTGGGTATATTGAATTAAATGAGGAGTCTCATTATTAAATGAGATTTTAATTAGAGACTCAAATGAAAAAAAAATTAATAATTAATTTTAAATTTGAGTAATATCTTAATTAGGATTTGAATATATTGAATTAAATGGGAAGCATCATATTAAATAGTATCTCAATTAAGGGCTTAAATAAAGAAATAAAAAAATAATTTTAAATTGTTATATGTTCTCCTAGATCTGCGTCCTTAATTCAAATCCCATTTGAATGAATAAAAAAATAATACTCCCTCTAGTTTTAATTATAAGACCTCATTTGTAGACTATAAACAAGATCTTATAATTAGGACCGGAGTTAGTACTCCTATAAGAAGTAAATCTTGAGCTACATTAAATACTGTAATTTATTAGAATTTAAAATCTAATCAAATATTTCAATTCATGCATCGTATGAAAGAGAAATTTTTAATTTGTAATGAAATCCACAGAGGACTCTTGGAACATTTTGTGCTTATTCCTAGCCAGACAACTCAGGACAAAAAGAACCTGACATAGCTTTCATTTACACGCATGTCAATAATTATTATAAGGAGTTTGCGTGTTCAATTTTTTATAAGTATACTGGATGTGTGGGTTTCTTTTGATAAGATAAAAGATGAGAAAAACCAAGTATTATTAGAAGGCCATAATTTTATAGTATTATGTTGGAATTTGCCATGATCATGAAAGTCTGTATCACACTCAGTCCTGTATGCAGAATGGATGGGATTTAAAAATATTTATTTTTACGCAATCAAAAAAATATTTATTTTTAATCTAAAAGAGAATCAAACTAATTCAAAATCAGATGTTGTAAAGAAAGAAGTCTTTGAGATTTTATTTTTAGATACTTATGTAGCGCAAAATTAGATGTGTTGTTAATTTGATTAAAAAAATTAACTTATATTTAGTTTTCATTATTAAAGTTTTTGTTAGAATCAAACTATATACTTCCTTGGCCTTTGAATATAACACGTGGTTGTCAAAATTATGCTGATCAAGATTCAAGAAGCTTATGAGTCTGAATAATTTGGATTTTTGAGAAATGCAAAGGTGATCACACATTAATTTCAAATTTGAAATATAACTGCAATCGATGTCACTACAAATGGGCTAACATTAAGCCCAAGGCTTGGGGATGTACCTAATTTGGCTTGCACAAAGCCACATGTTTTGTAATCAAGCTGGGAAATCCTTATGAACAATGTTTTGAGTGTAGAGCTAATCCTAAGACAATTCCAATCACAGCTCCAAGTGAATATTAAAGAATAAGTTGATGTTGGCAATTAAACCAGTGATTTGGTATTCAGGCCCAAAAAAAAAAAAACAAGAAAGAAGAGTCATTCAACATTTATGTGCTTGATTCTTTGTTAAAACTTAAAAGTGCAAAGGGCTGTGTTTTCCACAGTCCTATAAAATTTATCTTCTGATTATGTATAAAAGTATTTAAAATAGAAATCATTTGAATAGAATTGAAAATATGTGACACACAATTAGCAGCTCAAATTCAGATTTTTTAATTAATAAAAATTTTAAAAACAAATGTATAAAGATCAAGAAACTCATCCTTGCCTTCTTTGTCTGAGCAACTAACCGGCAAATCCCTCTGAAATTTCTTCTAGGGTCTTAGTTTATATTATTTAATTTGATGAGGGACGGAGGGATCTGCTCAATTAAACAATTTGGATTTTGAATTTGAATGAAACTTTGCCTTTCCATTATATATGAGAGATCAAGAACGGCCCTAGAGCAGGGAAGCAAATATAGATCTCTCTCTTAGTGCTTGGCCTCTTCTCCTTCTTCATGTTTCTGTGCTTATTGATTCTATGTTCTGCGGTGCTGAATCTTTGAGGCTAACAATCCGAAAATTAGCCGAGCAGCAAGCCACAAGCACGCAATTAATGAGTTTCGGCTAACTGCAAGCTGGTGGAATACATATCTTTATACTTACATGCTTCTGAACAGTATTTTGTGTCTTAAACTAAGGATAAGCTGCTTTTGTATTAGCTAGGTGGAAGAGGTATTCATAGTATATTAAATATTGAATGAATTGATGATGATATTGATGATATAACACATTGATATTGTGCTTGTTTGGTGCTGCTTATTTTAAGCGCTCCACATTCACCTAAAATGAGTCATTTGGTTTATTCCTTATTGTAAATACTATGTTATATTTATTATAAATTTCAAATAACTAATTCATAAAGATCGAATAATTAGTTAAAATTAGTTAAATATAATATATAAGTTAAAAATATACTTTTGTTTTGAAATATGTTCTTACAATAAATGAGAAAAATAATGAAAGAGAATATGTGGGGAATTGACGAATTGTGATAGGAAAGAATATGCAAAGGAGAGAGAAGCAATAACTAAGAGCAAAATTAGAAAACATATTTTAATGGTTAAGATAAACCCACATCCCTTCCCAAATTTTGAAGTTTATAAAGTATCAAAGGAGAGTCAAACATCTAAATTATCGAATAAGAGTGTGCGATTAAAAAAAAAAAAGTACTAAAGAGAGTCAAACATTTAAATTACAACTCATAATGCTGACACATAATAGGAACACTATATTGGAAGAGGATTGACCACCTGCATAATGAAAAAATCTATTTTAGCCATGAGAATACCTCCATACTCATCTTTTCCAGCATAAAGGAGGAATGGGATGCGGTCTATAAACTTCATTTTAGGTACATGGGGCAAACATGCAGGACACCCAGACATTAATATTGCGGTGGTGGCTGTAGCAGCTTCAGTCCCTTGTTCATTTGTTTCCATGAACGACTTCTGCAATATGCTGAAAACATATAACTTTGGACCAGTAAAAGAATTTAACATCTCTTTCCACCTTCCTCCGGAGAATGGCAATGTTACCCGTAGTCCCCTCAGCATACTAGAAGCTTCCACCTCGGAAGAACAGCTAAATTTTGGGGTGGAGCGGTCACGTACATCCATTACGGTTTCAGTAACATGGGCTATACACCCATCACCAGTGTGTGTCAATGGATAACAGAAAGCCATGCTGAAACAGCGCCTATCTTCACTTTGCTTTTTATGTACCTGACAGAACCTTTCAAAACCGTCGTACCATCTACCAAATTCTCTCCTCTTCCCAATCATGAAGGGAACCCTCGTGAAGTTTTCGTTCCGTCGATCCTCTGTGCTTGGAAGGGGTGGACTTTCATCCTCATCCCATGCTCCTTTGAAGTATAATGCATTTGTAAAGACGAGTTTTACTGAGTTGTTGAGAGACCCCTCACGGATAAGGTCTTTAACCAGGCCATTTGTCTCATTTTCCACCCAGGAATTAATTTGCTGCCTCACATTAGGAGCCTGCAGAAATTATAGCCATTTCAGAAGCACTTCAAGCGAACAAGTTGTCGTTCCTGATTACCTTAATTTCCTTGTTTATCCTGGATATATAAGAAAATAAAAAATATACTCCAAGAGACACATGAAATCCTTGTATTCTCTCAAACTCGTGAATCGAGCTAACAAGCACCTCAAGCCTTGCGGCAAGAAACAGGGAACTCATGCTAATTTTTACAAATTAAAAAGGCTGATTATACATTTAAGAAGAATATAAACGGGCTGCACATATCTGCATCAATTAATATAAGAATTAATGAGATGATTTCTTTTAGGCATGAAACTCAAGGAAGTTGACATATGGCAGGGAGTCAACAAGTCAATACCATCATGGAATAGAACCTGACGATGCTATGAGTAATATAAAATTTTAATTTCATTTAATTAAAGATATTGTGATTTTGAGTTAAAAAATGACGGAACATTACCTTGGTCTGAAAGTCCACCGGGTTCAGAGCGGCTCTATAATCAGAGTCTAGAATCTGTTTAAAAGAGGGCTTCAAAGTAAGGGATTGGTCAAGCCACAAGCCATTGGAGCAACGCATACGAGGGCCGACGGCGGGATCACCATCGGCCATGATGTCCTCGGAAATTCGGGAGGCGAAGTGATTGAGCTGATCGACGGAATCGGCGTCGAAGAAGGTGAGAAGCTGACGGCGGGTATAGCCGCCGGAGCCAGCGGCCAGGAGGCTGAGCACCACTTGGAAGGACAAGGGTGAAAGCACCCTGTTTTCGTCCATTTCTCCGTCCACAAGCAGATGGTTTCCGAACATCATCGATTTGTGGAATACGGTGGGACGTTTTTTATTCGTCCCACCTGCTTTGCTTCTGCTGCCGTAAGAAGCCGTTTGGTTCGCCGAAAATGGGCAGAAGGAGAAGGAAAGGACACTCCTTTCTAGCCATGGAGTGATGAAAAGCCGGTTCCTCAGATGAAGGAGATTTAACCGCATGATGGAGAGCACTTCAACCCTAACCTCCTGCTCCTAGAGTATTCCTTTTTGCCTTCGAGCTTTCCTCAGGACGGGGCGAAACTAAAACTCCGGTCAGAAAGTTAATACAATCATGACAAAGAATCTTAACAGATCATGCCGCGACTTCTTATGATTTGTTTGTTTCCGATATGCCAAAGGCAAACATTAACAATTTTTTTAAAAAAAGCCAAAATAGAAATCACTCCCTTTAACTTTAACCCTCTTACACATAACCTCCTTCATCTTTGAAAGTTTAAAAATAACATCCTCAACTTTTAAAACTCACATTTTAACCTCTTACTATTAAAGTGGATGTTAAATTTAACGGAATGGATGCCATTTCAGATTATTTAAAATTACTTGATAGATGATATGTAATTTTTATTATTTTGTTAATTTATTCCAACTTAAAATTCACAATTACACTTAAAAGTATTTTTGTAATTCTACTAATAGTAATCCCCAATTCTCAGTCTCCTCTAATCCTGCCAACTTGCAGCGTTTTATTCTTCTCCATTCTAAAAATCGTCTTCAGAATATAACTCTTCTCCCTTGGTTCTCATTAGCAATGTAACAATTCCATCAATTGATTGTCCTAAAAAAATGACGAAGTGTAAATGATTTTCTCCATTATCTTTGTCTCACTGCCCCCAACAAAATTTTCAACGCACCAAAATTCACCGACTACAATCAAGAGATAGGCAGAGAAGAAAGATAGTGAGCGATGACTATTGAACAACAACTGAGCGCGATCCATCTTTGAATCTTCGGTGGGTGGCTTCGTCTCCATTTAAAAAAACAATTTCACAAAAAAGATTCTAGATTTAAAAGAAGGATGTGATGACGATGATTTTTAGAAGGGAGAAGATGATTAATTAGAAGATATTGCAAACATGAAGGACCTGAGCAGTGGGGGGAACTGAAAGAGGAAGATTAGGTGAATGAGACTAGGAATTAGGGCTTATTATTGTAGAATCACAAAAATACCATTTAATATAATTATGATTTTTGAGTTAGGATAAATTAACAAAGTAATAAAGATTACATGTCATCTGATAAATAATTTTAAACAATCTGACATGGCATCTATTCCGTTAGATTTAATGGCTACTTTAACAGTAGGGGTTAAATTTCAAGTTATGAAAGTTGAACTTTTAAAGATGAGGAAGGTTATATATAAGAGGGGCAAAGTTGAGAGGAGTTATTTATATTTTGGGCTTAAAAAAATCAAAACAATATTTTATCTAGTAAAAAAACAATTACCAATATTTCAGAAGATGGAAATTGAATTTCATAACAAAAAAAAAACATGGATAATGAACGATGTTCTTTATTTAATAAAAAAAAATCTTGTTATCACAAAATGACGGCCTTATAAGATGATATTGATAAAATAAATTTTATATTCAAAATAAGGCCGTTGCAACACACCAAAATGGAACATCAGAAAATTGATTGAAAAGAAAAGAGTTCATGTACTAATTACACGCACCTTTCCTTTATTTTCACAAACCGTTAATTATGTTAAGAATATTTTAAAAAGATGTTTATTAATTGAAATTTATATTAAAATACTTCTTATTTATTAATTTACTCTTTATGATACTAAATCTCTAAATTTTGGCTAAAACTATGTTGAACAATTTAAGATTTTTTTCCTTTACCTTAATTTTATTTTTATTTTTAAAAATAATTATTTGTTTAATTTTTTATCATAACGGAACAGAAAATTAAGTAATTTAAATGAAGACATAAAAAAACTTGAATGAAAATTTGATTGATTCTTTAAATAAATATATAATTGACTAAATAAGTTATAAATATTTGGAGAAAAATTATCCTATAAGAATTTTAAATCATAAATTTAATTGATTTATATAATCTCCCAAATTGAAAATACCAGCCATTTAAAAGAAATCTAAATAAGTAAATTTCAATATATGTCATGAAAAATTAAAATTATAAAATTCTATAATATAATCAAAATTAATAAATTTTATAACATATTAAAAAGTTTGAAAATACGTGTATTAAAATTTTTTTTCTTGTATCAAAATTATTTTTTACAAATATAAATGTTTAAATAACTTTTATATTAAGAAGGGGTATTTTGGTCAAAACAAAAGTTTAAAAGTCAAATTTAATGGTTAACTAATGGTTGGATGGATGAAGATGAAATATCAAATGTATAGGGGAGGTTTTGGTAGCATACATTTTAATTTCAAGAGAAGTTTACATATATTTTTAAAATAGAGAGAAGGTTTCAGTAATTTAGATAAACTAGAGGAATAGTTAGTGCATTTTACTCAAAAGAAAATGATTAATGTGAAATTAAACTCATTGGTGATTGGTATTTAATCGTCCAAATAACTTTGAAATTTCACACAATATCTTCGCGTCAATATCAACGTCTCGAACTTACCATTAGTTGACTGCATGAATTAAAAAAGCCCCTATGAAATACCTTAAAAATTCCTTTTATTTTCAAAACTATTATGAACATAATAATATCTCATATTATCTCTAATGTATTATATTATTTTTATGATTTTATAATTATCTCATATTATTATGTTATCCACAGATTTTGTTAAAATTGTAAAATTGTGTCTATAAATAGGAGGTCTAGAATTGAATGAGAAATATCCTTATCTTCTCTTTTCTCCAATTCCTTAATCTTTTTCTCTATTCTTTTTTTTTTTAGTTTTATAACAAAAACTAAAAAATTCTAATTGTCCTAAAAAAGATTGCACATAGAAGCTGAAAACACTTGCTCATTTCCTATTCTATTTTCCCTGCGCACAATATGACTTTTTCCCACATGATTAATGACAAATAAATTAATTATAGGGAAAATTGCACTAGACCCAATAAGGAAGAGAAATTACTATTGTAAAGTACCTCTAAATCTTTAAATTAATCTCAAATCTCGTGGAATCTAATAGTAAGAAAATCTAATTATAAAATTATCAAGCTATCCTTACTAATTAGATTAGTTGTTAATACATACTATGATAATTGTTAATATGGTTGGTTTAGTATTCAATAATTTTACATTCACTTAATGATTCTTGTTAGACTATCACGAGTTAATCAGTTAATGTAATATAATGATGGCATGTTAACTTGTTAATGATGACACATTAACTTGTTAATACAGAGACTTTCACTTCCCAATTCCTGCTGCTAAAAATATGTTGCAAGGTTGATCTTATGTGATTTCAAATTATAAATGCTCATATAATACATTTTAGTTATAAGGTACTATAATCTACTACAAAGTGAGTTGTCAATTCTAGCATCCTCAATTATCAATACTCTACACCTTAATTTGTTGATCCAAGTACTCTCACTTATATGTGAATTCTTTGCTGCTAAGGTGGTGGCAAAATAGTGGCGACGACATATGGTGAGGAAAAGGAAGGCCTTACAAAAAAAGGCGAGGGAGAGAGGCTGAATCCTTCACTTCTTGTTTTTTTTTAATCTAAGGACAACTTGTTAATTTTACTTATAGAATCTTTTTACACTCAGGTACTTTGGGACTTCTTATTAATTTGAAGTTTTTAAGTGACTTTTTAACAGTTATTTTTCTCTTGTTTAGGATTCTATAGTGATTCCCTCATAATTATTTCCCCACAATTTCCTAACACACAGTTTTTTAATTTAATTTAACCATTATTGTTAAAATTTTGTAAGTGGGTATTTTTTATCATACTACTACAAAAATCAACAATGCTATATAGTGGTAAATATTGGTTTTAAAATGAACATAGAGTTAAATGGGGATAGATTGAAATGAGGATTTGAAATTGATGTCCGGTAATAATCATAATTTGAAATTTGAATAATATTTAATAGGGATTTGAATATATTGAATTAAATGGAGAGCATTGTAATTAAATAGTCCAGGCTTAAATGGAGAAATTATTAATTAATTTTAAATTTTCATGTTTTCCCTAAATTTCACATCTCTAATTCAAATTACATTTAAGCGAATAAAAAAAATCATGCTCCCACAAGAAGTGAATTTTGAACTAACTTAGATAATACAATTTATTAAAATTTAAAATTTAATGAAATATTCTAATCCTTGCATTACGGGAGGAGCAATTTCTAGTTAATAAGAAATCAAAAGAGAAGAATTTTCACAACGTACGTTTAGATCTTGGGAACATTAAAGAAGTTGGAGAATCAAGAGCAAGAAGAATTCAGAAAAGGAAGGCCATAGAGAAGAGCCTAACTGTGTCCAAGAGTTGAAAAGAAATCGTATTACTTCATTTGTGATTCGCATTGCAAAGAAATTGGAACTATTTAACTATTTAGAGTTAATTAGCTTAATGTCTACTAAGATTATTCGTTTTTAGGCTAATTTCCTGTATTTTTTAGTTTTGGGAGAGCTATATTGAACATTGCATTTTTAGTTCTAAAAGAGTTGTATGAGACTCTATTTGCATAGTTCTAGATAGAGTATTTTATGCGCTTATCTAGATGAAGTCACATATCGTGAGATATAATACGTAATTTGGGTTGCTTTTTTTCCTCTTTTGAATGGAATTTTTTTTTTGCTTTATTTATGTTAGTGTAATCAAAATATTAAATGTGATTGGATCATGATCAACTTTTGATTTCTTTTGTTTTTATTTTTTATAGTGAAGTCAATTATAGTCTAAAACAGAAAGAGTTGGCATCACTATATATCTAGAAGCCTATTGCAAATACCGTGATCTACCAGACAGACACACACACTCCTGAAAATAAGCTCACAACATCGAAACATCCTGAAAGAGAACATGACACCGATCGAAAATTCTCCCCATAAGCTTTAGCAACGATCTTGACGGGAACACCAGGCACAGATACTTCTTGCCATGAACATACTCCTCTTGGTCCAACACCTCTTGGTCATATATCAAAGATGCTCAGTACTGTTTGGTATGAGATAAATAGAGGGAAGAGGGGAAGAAAAATTTTAATGAGCT